CTACGCAGTGCACGCTCATGCGCATAAATTGCAAGAAGAAAGTAGGTAATTTAGCAATAATGGAAGCGAAGGAAAATGGTTAAAATAAACTGGATTTAAAAAGAATTTTGAACTGAGATCTAAGTTTGCAAGTCACGAACCATTGCAACAAAAACTAGGCCAAATATGATTGGCATGCCTTTGGGTTCAAAAATTTAAGTTGCTAGATCGGGAATGAGGAGGCAGTTGGAAGTCAAAGAGGTGTATAGAAGGGAAGTCCAAATCGCAAAAAGAGCTTTGGCTGCAGTACCATCCACATGCGTAACAAAACCATACGTGAACCACAGAGGGGTCCATTCAATTTGAAGAATGATTAATGGACCTTGGAGCAGGAGAAATGGAGAGCCATTACGTGTCATGAAGAGGAGAGGACATGGAAACTGAGATGGGGAATTAGTGCCTACAAAGCTCACCTTATATGAGTTCAAGAATTGGTAAAATAAAAAGAATTAGCCGATTGTCTGTCACGTTCTTTGTCCAAATGTATATTGCACCTACCCAATCGAAGGCGCCTCAATGAAAAGTTCGACCTAAATAACAAAAAAACTTTTTTTGACGTTGTTGTCTGGGCGAAGAAACCAGGATAATAACAGGCAAACTTACATCAGATTGCTTTTCCCGAGGTAAAGCTAACCCGATTATTTGAAGGCATGGAAAAAATTTACTCAAAACAGAACAAGCTTTTGGATAATTTGCTCCAACCTCGGGGCTAGAGAAAATGGATGCATACTGAGTGAAGTTGTGTAAGTTGTTCGGATTGATAAACGCAGTTTGAATGGGTACCAAAACTAGAGCACCCAATCCCAGCCCTGAGGCAATGCTTCCAATAATAATAGTAGGTCTGTGATTCGGAAACCACTAAAAACAAACACACAAGATTGCAATTTTAACAAAGTAAGACTTAGTAAAGGACAAATAACGTACAGCTGTAGCAACAGCATGCAAAACGGAGCAAGAGGCGCCGATTCCACGCCAAGCATTATTGAACCCGTGAGAGGCCTTCAAGCGATTGTTCGATGTTAATTGCAAGAGGAGAAGACCACTACTTGAAAAGAATTGTAGATGTTTAATAAAAATGTTAAAATAAGCCTTTTAAAGAAATTATGGCAATTAACAATCGTAAAGGACAACGTTATCTCTGAAGGTGATCGAATATGCAATTTGGGTGATATAATGAACCATGTGAATGCTAAATTGCACATACTAGATGGGAAACGGACAAGGTGACCTAATCCGTGTTGTAGAGAAGGCAATCAATCCATAGGAAGGAAACACTAGAATTCGCTACAAAACCAAAAGGTTTGCACAATCATACGTTTCCAAAGTGCTTCATGTTTTACACTAACCGACGACGCAGGGATCTAAGACTAGAGGTAGAAGAGAAGAACAGCAAAAATTTGCACCGATGGCAGACCTTCAACCCTTCACAGCGGACACAGACCTCAACAAGCGACTCGAGTATACCAGATTAAGGCCTTAGTTCTGTCTTCGACAAAAGAAAAACCCAGCAGAATTGAGCAGCGTGACTAAGGAAAGAGCTAAGGCAACAGAAAGTGTCGTTCTAACATCTGTCGTGGTGAGCGTAGAATCCGCAGACGTGAGTCTGGGTGGAGCCTTCACGAGTGCAGATCTTGATGTTGTAGTAGCAAGTATTTTGAGGGCCGAGGTGGAGAAGGGTTTCATGGGAATGGCAGTTAGCCATGGGTCAGGTGGTCCTAAGTGATCCGGTGACTCGGTGCAGTCATGGG